ACAAATTTAACTGTTAACTGCATTATAAGAATTGAAGAGAAAGCACCTAAGTTTTGTACATTTGCCCTGCTACGTCTTACAAAATTTTATATGACTGTAACTGCAATTAAAAAAAAAATAGTCGAAACATGTATCTATCTAAGCATTACAACCCTTACTTCCAGGCTTTTCAAAGGATTGTCATGTTTGCACGGGAACAACTGATAGTATTGCTGCTTTTCTCGCTGCACGTGCTACACAACCAGGGAAAGCTGTGAGATCCTAAACATACTTCTTTTGCTGAATTACTTACCGATGTTTTAGTTTGTAGTTTGTATTTAATTTGACTTCTAAATTGCCATCAGGTAACTTCATTGGGTTCAACTCTTGCCGTAAAACTCTTAAGCACCAGTCGAATCGAAGATGCTCGATTTGGTGTTTATAGCCATCGCCTCGACGACAAATGGCTTGTTGGTGGTGCCTCAAACACTGGGGGAGCTGTTCTTAGACAAATATTCACTGATCACCAGCTTGAAGTCTTAAGTAGGCAAATTGATCCAAGCGTACCCTCTCCTCTGGACTACTATCCTTTACCAGCAAATGGTGAAAGGTTCCCAGTTTCAGACCCAAGCATGATGCCCAGGTATTGAACATTTCTCGAAGTTTAGTCCAATATTCTACAGTTTGATGCTTAGGGGGTGTTTGGTTCACCCATTTTGTAGAAAAGTTTTAGGAAAAGACCTGACAATGCCAATTTTGTAATTAAAAGTTTTTTGTAGTTTTCTATAAACTATGTTTGGTTCAAAAAAAACTTTATAGAAATGTTTTCTATGAAGTAGGAAAAAGTACCACATTTTATAGAAATCAACTTCCTCTCAATAAGAGAGGAAATTGGTGAGAAATCTGACGCATTGATTTAAATAGTAATTTTTTGTACAAACTTATTCATTTTCACTTCTTAACTCATTTTCTATAAAGTTGATTTTTCCTCTTTTCGTATTTTGAACCAAACAAAGAAAGAGTAAAAAAATAAGAAAACACGACTTTTTGAATTTCTATAAACTTCTCCTATAATATTTTATAGAAATACATGGAAAATAATTTTTGGGTACTTTTCGTCTTTTTTTTATAGAAATTGAACCAAACAGCCGCAAAAAATTTCCTATGTTTGTGTATAAAGAGCATAAAAATTTAGTAAGAAACACTTGGGATGTTTGGCAGTTATAAGTGCTAACCTTATTAATTTTAATGGCCTTTAGGCTCACTCTACAAGTTGCTTAATGGGTTTTAGGCTCACTCTACAACTTGCCCCAGCGTTGGCAAGATGGGGAGTGATTCTATCAAAAATTAATACTCTTTTACCCAAAAAAATGGAAAAGGAGTAAAATTAACAAAATAGTGAATTATTTTTTTTTTTTTGAGAAAAAGGATGGAATACCACAAAGGTATTCCAGCCAGCTAAATTAAGATTTGGTTGTTACAAAAGAAGAACATACTCCCAACCATAGAGCATGCACTTACTGTTTATACCAAAAACTTACAAAGCCAAACCACACTCCCATAGCCTAAGTATCAGGCGTAATTTCTCAAAAGAGAACAAAAGAAAAACCAACAAAGCAAACCAGAATGTTGAATATAACCCCATGATGTACACAACAGCAAAAAACATAGACTTATCTTTTCCATCTTCCAAACCACACAAAACCATCTATTCCAACTGGATCACCTGGACCTCAGCCATCCCGCCAGTAGCAGCTTTATCACTGATAAGTCTCCCAGTAGTTTTTTTTCTCCTCCTTTCTTGTAATCGAGCAGCTCGAGCAGAGATTCCTTTAGAACCTAACCAAAAGGTTGAATAAGTCACTATTTTATTTAGAAGGAGAAGAGATCCTTTCTGTTTATTAGAGAACAATCTATCATTGCGTTCCTGCCACACAGACCAGATCAGGGAGCAAATCCACACTAATTTCTTCAAATTAGATTCACCATCAGTACCACCACTCCAGCAAAGCCAAACTTCTTTCAAAGAATTCATTCTAAATTCATTATCAGTGTTTAACTTGAATTGAATAGATCTTCAAATTGAGTATACAAACTCACAGTTAAGAAATAAATGTGCATGATCTTCATCTTTTGCTGAACATAAACAGCATGTTTTCTCTACTTGAATACCCTTTCTATTCAGCATATCTTTAGTGTTTAAACTCTCCCTTAAAGCCAACCAAACTAAGACCTTAACCTTTAAAGGAACAGGGAGGCCCCATAAATTCATACAATCATATCTCACTCCTCCATCATTAAGAAAAATATAATAAAATATGAAAGTTGCAATCTGTCCGAATATAAAAATTCAGACCAAGGTTTTTTTCCAAAATAATTATGAAAACTGACTTGTTTCCAAAGACTAGGTTTAACATCAAACCATTTCCATAGCCATTTCCCTAAAAGAGCTTTGTTCATAACCTTCAAATTTTTAACTCCCAATCCACCACACTTTTTTGGTTTGCAAACTTCATCCCATTTAACCAAATTTGAACAACCTTTATGTTCCAAAGAGCCACTCCATAGAAATCTTCTTCTCATCTTATCAATTTTTTCAATAACCCATACAGGAAATAAAAAATAAGAAAGCCAGAAAGTTGGTATAGAGGAGAGAACAGCATTAACTAATACTAATCTACCTCTTCTTAATAGGGAATTTCCTTTCCATAAGGCTAACCTTTTCTCAATTTTACTAATCAGAGGAGACCAGTCATCTTTTTTTAACTTCCCAGGTCTTAAAGGCATCCCAAGATAAGTGATAGGGAAGCTACCACTTTTACAATTCATCATAGTAGCCAAACCCTGTTGTAAAGATTCATCATTCTCAAGAGCAAAAGCTACCACTTTTACAATTCATCATAGTAGCCAAACCCTGTTGTAAAGATTCATCATTCTCAAGAGCAATAAGAACACTCTTGTTAAAACTAATCTGTAGCCAAACCCTGTTGTAAAGATTCATCATTCTCAAGAGCAATAAGAACACTCTTGTTAAAACTAATCTGCAAACCAGATGCTAATTCAAAACAATAGAGAATCAATTTCAAAACTGTCAACTGTTCTCTATTGTTTTTGCAGAAAATCAGAGTATCATCTGCATATTGTAGACAATGAACTTTATCTCTCATATTATTGGGTCCTAAACCTTCAATAAAATTGGATTCTACTGCTAAATTTAACATTTTGGTAAAAGAATCTGCTGCCAAAACAAACAAAAGAGGAGACAAAGGATCTCCTTGACGCACCCCTCTCTTAGACATGATCCACTTCCCTACTTTGCCATTAACATCAATGGCAGACATTCCCCCATGTAAACATATTCTCATCCAGTGAATCCATTTATCCCCAAATTTTTTAGCCTTCAAAACATCAAAAATAAAATCCCAATCCAGCATATCATAAGCTTTCACAAAGTCTAGCTTTAATAAAATCTCCCCTCTTTTCTTATTTTGAAAACAATCATTGATAATCTCTTGAGCTGCAGCTACCCCATCAAGCAAGTATCTATTTTTAATAAAGCCAGATTGCAAAGGATCAATAAGCAAATCAAGCTTAGTATTCAACCTTGTTAGTCTAAGTGTGTAGACCCAAAGCTGCAATCGAAAAGACGAAGAAAACAGTCAGAAGACTGTGCGGTCGACCGCAGTGGCAGAGCCGGTCGACCGCGTGCACTGTAGGAGACTGAGAAGAAGTTTTCGCTCTGGCCGGTCGACCGGCGTGGTCGCTGCGGTCGACCGATATCGTGCACAAGACCCTGTAGGATTTCGTCGTTCTGACCGGTCGACCGACCTTGGCAAAGCGGTCGACCGCGACGCAGATTCGCTGTTTCCTATTTTATCTAGGAATCCTGTTCTGCTGGGGTTTGTTATAAATACCCAAACGTTTCTAGGGTTTGTAGGACATCAAAAAGAGAGCTTTTTGGCTGCTAAGAGAGAGAATCTCAGAGAGATTTACCCCTTGTTTGAGAGCTTGTATTTTCTTCTTCAATTAATAGAAAGATTGTGTGGTGTGGCGTTGCCGAACCTCGTTAAATCTGTGTGTTCGTCTCTTTTACTGTTTTTTTACAAGGTTAGATCTTTATTTGTGATTTATTTCTACTTTCCTACTTTCAACACAAGGTCCGGAAGGGCAAGGGTTCGATTGATTGTTTCGAATCCCCAACAACTGGTATCAGAGCTTCGTTCAGCAATTTGTGTGAAAGCCATGGCAGAGGAAAGCAAATCAAAGATTGAGAAGTTCGACGGATCGGATTTCGCCTACTGGAAGTCGCAGATGGAGGACTATCTGTACCAGAAGGACTTGTATCGCCCGCTTCTGGGCAAGGAAAAGGGAAAGAAGACGACGGAGTCAGATGGTGATTGGGAGGTACTGGATAGGAAGGCTCTAGGGCAAATCCGGTTGTCGCTCGCCAAATCAGTAGCCCACAATATTCTGAAGGAGAAGACGACGGTGGGGCTTATGGAAGCGCTCGCGAAGATGTACGAGCAACCGTCGGCAGCAAACAAGGTGCATCTAGTCAAAACTCTTTTCAACCTCAAGATGGCAGAAGGACGGTCCTTCACGATGCACCTCAGCGAGTTCAACACGATTGTTGATCAACTCATCTCCGGATACATCACATTCGATGATGAAGTGTAAGCCCTATTGATTCTATCGCAGTTGCCGGATAGTTGGGCAGGTTGTGTGACGGCAATCAGCAATTCGGCGGGGAAAGAGAAGTTGAAGCTGAATGAGGTTGTTAGCATGATTCTATCCGAGGAGGTTAGAAGGAAATCGTCCGAATCAGAAGGTTCAGGTTCAGCCCTAAGTTTCGAGCAGAGAGGCAGAAGCCAGAAGAAAGGGAATAAAGCCATGAGATAGAATTTTCTGCAACCATAAAACATAATGCAACTTTAGTTGTCTATCAATATTAGACATAATTTCTTTACTAAAACAAATTTCAAAGACTGAAAATAAAATGGAGGTTTTGAGTATTTGTTGTTATTTTCGAAATGAGACAAAAAAATACAATTGAGGATGTCAAATAATTCTCAGCAATTGAAATATTCCCTATTCGGATAAGCATTGTATTCATAACTAGCCCAAATACTTATTTATTGCCCTTATAATCATCAATTTCATAGCCAAATATTTTACCAATTGATTTCCTTGAAGGAGCAGCGGTTGAAGACTGAGACGGGCGTCGGAGCAACGGTGAGGTCGACGGCACTGCGAGGTCGACGGTAACGACGAGGTCGACGGCTGCTCGCGACGATTGGGACGGGCAAGATCTGTTTTGACGGCGATGATGACTGGGATGGGCGACATCAGTTCGTGGTCGACGACAACGGCAATTCGTGGTTGACGTTAGTTCGTGGTCGACACGGCGCCGGTGGGCGACCAACGACACAACGGAAGTTCGTGGTTGTTTTTTTAATTTCGGGCTGAGAGAGAAAGGGGAAAATGATGAGAGAGAAACTGATTTATATTTGGCAATGAAGGGGGGGGGGTATTTTAGGGTTTTTACCTTAATTTTGTATAAATACAAGTGCTGAGAGTATTGTATTTTAGAGATTGAGTTTAAAGACAAATACAAAAAGTGAATTGGGCTTAAAGATACAACTAATAATGTTTGGGTTTAAAGATAAAGTTGAGTAAACAAATAGGTATAAAAACGAAAACCCCTTTGGTTTATCTGTAGCATGTGACAACAAAGTTTTTTGATCCCATGATTACAATAACACTGGTGACTGTGACCTATGGATCTCAGTTAGCATCATCAGCATCCGACCCCAATCATCTACGTATATCACATGACTCGATAACAGAACGTCCGTACTCAAACCAATAATGGAAAGGCTTGCCGTCGAAGGGCTGTTGTTTAGCAGTATATTTATGTTTCTTCATTATGTATACATGAGAAGCCTTTAGTACAGAAATAATTAATTAGCACGGTTTTGAGATGTGGTGCACCTGTCAGAGACCATTATTGTCATCATCAGCATGTCATATGTCAATAATTAATCAAGTGATTATTGCCGCTTTGGAGAAATTAGGAACCCTTGAATTGTAGTGAGGTGCGATTTCTAATCTGAGGTTAGAGTGTTAGCTGCCAACTTTTAGGCTCATCGATGGAAATCGTTATCTTTCTGGTCGTCTAAATAAAGCAGAGATTTGGTGACGGAACTTTATTGAGTTTAGATTTAGGTCGGGGGTGGGTCCCAGCATCTTTAGTCATCCTTGTACTGTTGGCTTGGTTCAAATGTATTCTGCATGCAAAGACTCCTAAAGGGTTTGGTAGGGGCTACGGAGGGGGAGACAGGAGCTTTTGAGATGAACTGTTTTTGGTACTCCGCTGCTGGATTCCAAGCCACGGCACAGAAAAGGTTCCCTTTCTGAAGATTGAAAAGGCTTCCGTCCTCGGTCGCCAGGAATCTAAATTATGGCAAGAGTTGGTGTGGACTCTTGTTGCATTTAGTTTTAGTCATACATGTGAGAGGGAGGTATAAAGAGGAAGTTGAAGATAATATATTTTGTTGGTAACTGAACACATGTTTCCTGTACCATTAATGTGTTGGGAGGAAATATTTGGAGGTGATGGAGAAAGTGTTTAAGAATTCGGGAGACAATAGAAAATTTAGGAAGAAGAAGATTTTTATTTCTTTTGAACACCTTAGAACAACTTGGAACTTCTTGATTACAAATGAGAGGGAAGGGGAGGTATTTATAGCCTCCAAAGTACAAAATATCTAGAATATTTTAATCCTAAATCTAGAGAGTTCTAGCATAATATCTAGAATTTTATATTACAATTATCTAGAGAAATATCTAGATATTCATTCTCTATAATTTTCTAGAACATTTTAAGGAGGTGGAGATGTTTAGATATTTCTAGAGAAAACTCTAGAACTTGGATCAAGTATTGGGTTTGGCCCAACAAGTGATAATTGGATCATTGATCCAATAATTAAACTTGATCCAAAATCAAGTTTACTTTTCAACACCCCCTCTTAAACTTGATTTTGCTACTCCAAGCAAACTCCTCATCTTGATAAAATCTTCGCGCTTGAGAGGCTTGGTGAAGATATCAGCTACTTGATCATTCGTCTTCACGTACTCCAATTGAACGTCCCTCTTGGTAACACACTCTCTAATGTAGTGATAACGAGTGTCAATGTGCTTACTTCGATCATGGAAGACTGGGTTCTTCGCCAAAGCTATTGCTGACTTATTATCCACTAAGATCTTCGTTGGCTCCTTTTGTGGCAAACTCATCTCCTTTAACAGGTTCCGTAAGCAAACAGCATGGCAAACACATGAAGTAACCGCTACATACTCCGCTTCACAAGTAGAAAGGGTGACAATTGGTTGCTTCTTTGACATCCATGTGAAAGCTGTATCTCCAATGAAGAACACGAATCCGCTTGTGCTTTTTCGGTCATCTACGTCTCCACCCCAGTCGCTATCGCTAAATCCAACAAGCTTGTAATCGTCAGAAACAGAGTAATACAAGCCAAAGTTTATGGTACCTTTGATATAGCGAAGTATCCTTTTAGCTGCCTTGAAATGAGTTGTTGTTGGATGCTCCATGTATCGGCTCACAACTCCGACTGCATATAGGATGTCAGGTCTTGTGCACGTTAAGTAGCGTAGGCTTCCAACCAAGCTCTTAAATAGTGTTGGATCTACACTCTCTCCTTCTTCTTGCTTTGACAATTTGGCTCCACATTCCATTGGCGTGCTTACTGGATTCGAGTCATCCATCTTGAACTTCTTAAGAACCTCTTTAGCATAGCCTTCTTGAGTAATGAAAATTCCATTATCTTCTTGTCTCACTTCAATTCCAAGGTAGTAAGACATCAATCCAATATCGGTCATCTCGAACTCCTTCGTCATCTCCATCTTGAATTCCTCGAACATACTTGGATTGTTGCCTGTGAATATTAAGTCATCTACATACAAGCTGTTAGTCTAAGTGTGTAGACCCGAAGCTGCAATCGAAAAGACGAAGAAAATAGTCAGAAGACTGTGCGGTCGACCGCAGTGGCAGAGCCGGTCGACCGCGTGCACTGCAGGAGACTGAGAAGAAGTTTTCGCTCTGGTCGGTCGACCGGCGTGGCCGCTGCGGTCGACCGCAAATGTGCACAGGACCCTGTAAACAGATTTTTCTCTGGCCGGTCGACCGGCCTTGGCACGGCGGTCGACCGCGAATCGCCCAGACAGTTTCCTGATCTGTTTAGGAATCTGTTTCAACCAGGATTCTATATATACCCCAAACGATTTTAGGGTTTGTACTACATCAAAAAGAGAGCTTTTTGACTGCAAAGAGAGAGAGAATCTCAGAGAGATTTACCCCTTGTTTGAGAGCTTGTATTTTCTTCTTCAATTAATAGAAAGATTGTGTGGTGTGGCTCCCGAGGACGTAGGCACGTTGCCGAACCTCGTTAAATCTGTGTGTTCGTCTCTTTTACTGTTTTTTTTACAATGTTAGATCTTTATTTGTGGTTTATTCCTACTTTCCTACTTTCAACACAAGGTCCGGAAGGGCAAGGGTTCGATTGATTGTTTCGAATCCCCAACAAACCTGTTAGTGAGGACTTTAGTAATCACTTTATATATCACATTAAGAAGACTGATGGGTCTGTAATCATTAACTACAGAAGAATCCTCCTTTTTAGGAATAAGGACAATATGGGCATAATTCAATCTATTGATTTCTAGAGTACCTTCATAAAATTCCTCAAACAATTTTATAATATCATCTTTCACTGTGTCCCAGAACACTTGAAAGAATAGAGCAGAAAAACCATCTGGACCAGGGGATTTATCCCCATTCATATCAAAAATAGCTTTGTGAACTTCTTCAACTGAAAAAGGTTGTTCAATGTCATTGGGCCCCCAATCAAATTCAGGGAACAATCTATTCCAATCAAGGATACACCTGTTAGTGACCTTATTTCCAAAAATTTGATTGTAATGGTTTAAAAAAACCTGAGCTATGCCATCTTCAGAACTAATTTCAACATTATTATAAGTAATAGAAGAGATCAAATTACTTCTCTTTCTCCCATTGGCAATTTTATGAAAGTACTTAGTATAATGATCCCCCTCTTTTAACCAATGAGTTTTAGATCTCTGTTTCCACATTTGTTCTTCTTGTAATAAAATTTCATTCAACTGTAAAACAGTATCATTTTTTTTAATCAACTCATCATCAGACAAATCTCTATTCTCCTCCATAACTTCCCAAGTTAAAAGATTATCTAATAAATCTTTCTTTTGTTGTCTCACACTATGAAAATTTAAATGCACCTATTGTTTTATACATTTCCTCATAAACCTGAGTTTACCAACTATATTCTTAGCTGCAGAACCACTTGAAGGAGCACATCTCCACCAAACAGGCACATTATTTAGGAACTCATCAGATCTCAACCAAATTTTTTCAAATCTGAATTTTTTAACATAACATTCAGTATCCCCAAAGTCAAAACTAATAGGAGCATGATCAGATAATTGACTGCTAAGCCCTTGTTGTTTAGAAAAAGGAAAAATATCTTCCCAATCAGAGTTGAAAAAAACTCTATCCAACCTAGCCATAGAAGGAGACCTTCTCTTATTTGACCAAGTAAATTTTCTCCCATGTAAAGGGCTGTCAATCAATTCCAACTCATTAATAACATCATTAAACTCCTCCATTTCTCTTCTATGATTACATTTACCTTTTCTTTCACAAGAATTGGAAGTAACATTAAAATCTCCAACCACAATCCAAGGGCCTGAAAAAATATTTTTAATATCTTTCAGCTCCTGCCAAAACACCAGCCTCTCTCTATTACAGTGTGGACCATATACTGAAGAAAGAGTCCATTTAAAACCATTCTTTTTACTTTGTAAAATCACAGTCAAAACCAAAATAGTGAATTATGACAAGTGAAATCTCTTACCTTGGGATAGGCTCACTAAGTTCACCCATGCGACATCATATCTTTCAAATTTTCACTCAGGGTAGAAGAGTCAAAGGGAAGGGAAGGAAAAAATTTTAACCCAAGGGGGTCTATCCGCAACAATTAAACTAAGGAGGCGTGGTGTTTTCAAATCAGTGATACTACAGGAGTCTACGTGCAATTAACCTATTATATATCTAGCATAATCATGCATTAAGGATTATCCAGAATAAGACTTGAAAAGGAAGTTCGTCGCTCACTTTCGTGTGTAGGTTACACCCACGACCAGAGAGCAATGTAGAATACCTGCAGGGGATTCTAGAGTCCATTGCCAGAATAGAGGTAAGTAAACTTATTTACAAATCTTCAGATAAACTACGTTCAGAATTCACGATATCAGCACAACATGCGCTTCTTTAATGGCATATCAGGCAAAAGGGTATAGTTTACTCAAAGAACTCGGAGCTACAGAGGTTGATGAAGTGTTCACTTCAGGTGGAGGAGCGAGAAACGCCGCATGGACGAAAATACGAGGGAGGGTTCTCGGGTTGCCTGTTCACCAAGCTATGCACACTGAAGCTGCCTATGGGGCTGCACTTCTTGCTCTCAAGGGTGTCGGCCTAAGCTGTTGACGTGAGGAGGACGGCGGCGCATGTATTATTTTGCAAATCGGGAGCTGACATGTAATACAACAAAAAGTCAAAGTTGGATATTATTAACCACCAGTTTAAGACATTGGTCAGAGCGTGCATATGTCAAATCCTCCTAGCTTCTGATATGATTTTCTACTGAGGATCCTCTATTACATATTAGAAAGGAAACATGGAAGTCATGATGTAAACTCATACAGCCAGTCATTATGTAAACTCATTCAACCTGTTTTTTGGTGTATTTTTCATTAGAGATGTGCAATCAGCTCTATTGCAGTTTATTTGTGCACTTGTTTGTTTATTTATATTTTTGAAGGAAAGCATATTGACTAAGACTTCACACCATTGAATCCTAATCTTTGACACTGGATCTAGGCCTTCTGTTGAACTACAAGTTATGTAAATATTCTATCCAAGAAAAAAGTTAGTTATGTTGGTAACATTCAAAATTTGCAAGTACAGTGTAAGGAGGTTAAAATTGTATGATAATTGTGATGCCGCAATTTGCAATTTATATACCCTATCATGCTCTCTGATGGAAATTGAACGTACACAATAGATGTAGAGCCTGCAAAAGTTATCCTATGCAGCTTTTTTTTCCCCAGATGCATTATAATCCCACGAATGAAATGTTTAGTTCCATAATCGTCTCAAGTTTTTTCTGGTGTGTGCATCTCTTATTACACTTACTTTTAGATGTTCCATAAATATGTATTAAAATAAAGAATTTTATTCAGCAGATTAAATTATTAGTACGCATATCCAGAGTGAAGAATATTTGAGCCTACACACGCTGCTGTGTCATGTTTGTTAAGAAGTACTTAAAATAATAAATGTATTTTAAGAATAATAAATGTATTTACAAAATACAATGCATGTGTTTCACTTCTATCATTGAACGCTCTTCAATTTGAACTCAACTACAATTTTACTATTTTAAGCCTATTTTGATTTTCCAATAATTTTTATGCCGTAATAGAAATTACTAGATTTGTATTTTTTTAATACCTCTCCTACCAGTTTGTTAAATTTTTTTCTAGCTCTGGCAACATTTTGATGTCTTTTATGAGCTAAATATGCATAGACTCAAAGAAGACATGAAATCTCAGGTGATGTTAGAGTATTTCTATCTTATATTCATGAGAAAAGTATCAGAACATTATTTGGCACATTAGTATGAGAAGTACAAGTAGGTTCAAACTTATTGAAGAATTAATGTGAGTACACTACAAGGAAGTAACTCTTAGGACAAAACAAGAACATGGTATTACTTCCAAATATAGTGAAGAGAAAGTTTGAAAGACCAAAAGTTGCTACGAGGAAGAGGCTTCACCGTTTTTTCGCCGATGGCAAATTTGTTGGTGTTGGTCTAATTACCCACCCCCCACCCCCCAAAAAAAACTATAGACGATTATCAGAAAACTCCCTTAACTTTTCAAATATCAAAAAAAAAAACCTTAACTTTAATGGTCATCTGAAACCCCCTTTAACTTTGAATTATCATTAAAACCCCTAAGTTAGGGGACTTAGGGGTTTTATGATAAAATCTCAAAGCTAAGGAGGGTTTTCTGATAAAATGTGAAATTTAAGGAGAGTTTTGTGATAATCCCTATATATAATGGGAGTTTTCTGGGTTTTGAAAGCTAGGGGGGCGGTCATTAATCGTCCAGATTTAAAGGGGGTTTTCTGATATTTACCCAAAAATAATAGTATAGTAATTTAGCCCACCAAAAACATTTATTAACATAGAACTTCTATTTGTAATCAAACAAGCACTTTAAAAGGCTAAAATATCAGACTAGCCTTAAAAAGTGACACATATTTATCAGTTTAGTCTAAAAATGATTTCAATGATAGTTTAGCCTAAAAAGTGATAAATATGATGATAAATAGGCATTTTCGGTGATGGAGATAATTTTTAAGTAAAAATTTAATTAATTTTTACACATAGACCCCTCACTCTCCCATATTTTCGGATTTATCCCCTCAAGTTTTAAAATATGTATAAAAAACTCTCATCTCACCCCACCCCCAAACCTTCCCACCATCTTCGTTTTTGTCCCATCCCAATCCTCAACCTTTCCTTCTCTTTCCCGCTCTCTTTCTCCCTCCTTTTCATATACATCCAATTACTTCCTCATTTCCCTATTTTTCCAATCCACCTCTTCTTAACTTAATTCGCTTTTTTTTGTCCTCTTTCTCCTCCCTTTCTCTTCCCCCCTCCTTTCTCTTCCCCCTTCCTTCACTCCCTCCTAAGAGCATCTCCAACCCTGCGCTATTTTCCCAAGTTGATGCAAACCCAACGCCAATTCACCCTCCAAACGAGCGCTAAACCCTGCGTTATTTTTATGAGGTGCTACAGTGTTGCGGCAGGAATGACGCAACACTGTAGCTTTAGAGTTTTTTTATTTTTTTTGATTTTACCCTTAAACCATGTGATAATAAATTAAAAATACCTATTGTATCCTATTATATCAGTCATTAACCTCAGTTTATTCCATTTATTTTTTTTATTTTTAACTTTTATAATGAAATTATAGTATAAAATAATTATTAAAATAAAATTCAAACATAAAAAAATAGATAATTTAATTCAAACACTTAAAATTTTGTAATACTAAATGAAAATATAAATCAAATTTACATTTAGATAAAAAATACAACTTTAAATTAGGACATAAAAAAACTTACACATTATTATAATAAATTATATGTAATGTATTATATAATTATATAATTATATAATTTGTTAAATATTTTAAATAGATAAAAATACATCCAATTACTTCCTCATTTCCCTATTTTTCCAATCCACCTCTTCTTAACTTAATTCGCTTTTTTTTGTCCTCTTTCTCCTCCCTTTCTCTTCCCCCCTCCTTTCTCTTCCCCCTTCCTTCACTCCCTCCTAAGAGCATCTCCAACCCTGCGCTATTTTCCCAAGTTGATGCAAACCCAACGCCAATTCACCCTCCAAACGAGCGCTAAACCCTGCGTTATTTTTATGAGGTGCTACAGTGTTGCGGCAGGAATGACGCAACACTGTAGCTTTAGAGTTTTTTTATTTTTTTTGATTTTACCCTTAAACCATGTGATAATAAATTAAAAATACCTATTGTATCCTATTATATCAGTCATTAACCTCAGTTTATTCCATTTATTTTTTTTATTTTTAACTTTTATAATGAAATTATAGTATAAAATAATTATTAAAATAAAATTCAAACATAAAAAAATAGATAATTTAATTCAAACACTTAAAATTTTGTAATACTAAATGAAAATATAAATCAAATTTACATTTAGATAAAAAATACAACTTTAAATTAGGACATAAAAAAACTTACACATTATTATAATAAATTATATGTAATGTATTATATAATTATATAATTATATAATTTGTTAAATATTTTAAATAGATAAAAATGTTAAAAGATAAGAATAATAAAGGAATATTCTTTTTGGTGTAAATTTTGGTATAATGTGTTGGAGATGGAATGATAATTTGGTGTAAAAACTACACCAACTTGATGTAAAAACTATACCATTTTGAGTTGGAGATGATCTAATGCTTCAAGTAGAAGATTTGATGTTAGGTCTAAGAAAGAAAGAGTAGAAGAAGATTGAGTTTTCGATGATTAGAGGTGAAGAGGGAGCGAACAGAGCAATGAAGGAGAGGAAGAAAGTGTGGTTGAAAGAGAAGAATGAGGTTGGGTGTTTGATAAAATATTTGATGTTAAGTCTAAGAGAAGAAGAGGAGGAGATCAGATTTTTTTTTTTTTTTACTGATTGAGAGTTGAAGAGGAAGTGGGCAGAGCAATGAAGGAGAGAGGAGGGAAGGTTAGGGATTGAAAGGAGAAGAAAATGAAGGAGATGGTAGAAAGGAGAATAGAAGAATGAGTATGGAAAGGATAGAGGAGTGGGAAAAAGAAAGGAAAATTAGGGGGAAGGAGAGTAAAATGGAGGAGATGGTGGGAAGGAGATAGGAGGAGGTGAGTGTTGCGCGTGGAAGCCACCAATCGTTGTGCTTCGAGGAACCAAACCAAACGCCGAGAGAGAAATCCAAACAATGCAAAATAATGGCACAAACACAAACAATCAATTTTACGTGGTTCGGCAAGTTGACTACATCCACAGGGCAAGAAAGGAATAGGGTTTTCACTAATAGAGAAGAAGAGTACAAACTGAGATTACAAATCACTCAAAACAAACCAACTAATGTTATCAACAAAGCTCTCAATCTCTCAAACAAAACCCTAACCAATAGCTCTAGAAAATACATCTTTTCTGTGCTCCAAATATCCCCAATACTACTCCAAAGAAACCCTAAAACGTGATTGGTATTTATATCAAACAGCAATCCTAAACAGAATAAGAAACCGCAATCAGGCCCAAACCCGACTGGCGGTCGACCGCCGAAATCATCGCGGTCGACCGGACATTGTTTATGACATCACAAAAAGCTTTCACAATCAATGGTGTGTTGGAGGAGACATTGTTCCGTTAATTTATCTCATGTCAGGTATAAGAAAAGATAGTTTGTTGGTTAGATACTGTCATCATGCAATGACAATTGAGGATCATATATAGTTATATATTTTAACATAATCTCACATCTTGAGCCAGATGCAATTGCTCTAATTCGATGTCAAATTCCATTCTACTAAATTAATTCGGAAATTGTTGTGTGTGATGGTTAAACCGATGGGAGCCGAGAACAAATACTAATGTCGAGAAAGAGAATAAAACAATCTAAAATAACGGCACAAACACAAAGAAACTAATTTTACGTGGCTCGACAAGTTGCCTATGTTCACGGGGCAAAAAGGGATGAGTTTTCACTAATAGAGAAGGAGAGTACAAACTGAGATTATATAATCACACAAAAACTCACCAATTAATCTCACCAACAAATCACTCAATCAAAACCCTAATCAATAGCTCTAGAAAAGGCTCTTTTCTGTGCTCCAAATATCTCCAATACTGCTCTCCCAGAAACCCTAAAACGTGTTTCAATATATATATCAAAACACAAACCAAATCAGAACAGGAATCTACAATCAGTCCCAAACCCGACTGGCGGTCGCCCGCCGAAATCATCGCGGTCGACCGGACAGAACGGTAGAAACCAAAAAATACATTATAGGGTCCGCGGTCAACCGCACTTGACGTCGCAATCAACCGATTAGAAAACCAAAAACACCCTGTAGTCGTGCACGTTTGCGGTCGATCGCGCCAAAGCTCGCGGTCGACCGGCAAGCACTCAAATGTCTATATGCATCAAATTTTCTGATATTCTCCAATGTTTTCTCCGTTTCTATAATTCTCCACCTCGGTGAAGTTTTCCCAAAACTGAGCCGGCACC